GACAAGGCCATCAGAGTACAGGGCCTGATGAGCCAAAGCTTCTGACTGAGCTGGTTTTGACTTTTCTGCTAATCTGGGTGTGGATCAGGGTAAGCAGAGGCAAGGATGTTCAGGATCTGGAGGTGGGGGTGTGAAAAGTATGGCAGGCACAGTCTGACAGGCAGGGAAGCACATGGGAATGCATTTTGCAGCGTGGCTCAACTTAGCTGCCTGTGCACTTTAGCTTCATAAGATGGCGGATCCCGTCACTGCAGTGTCCAGAAGGCGGGAAAGTTACATTTTTGTTCTAACATGTATCTAACATGTAATCTAGCTGTGAGAAGGTCTTACTGACACTACAATATGGCGGTAGAAGTTCTTGCTATCTTATAAATAGAAATTGTTTCTTTTTTTCCATATGTTTGTCTCATTTCTTGAGGAGACAATGTAGCCCCTTGGTCAGGGGCTAATATGGCGGCTAGTCACGTGAAGGACTTGAGGCCTGGTCCAACCTTGGCGGGCTTTGTGAACGCTGCATTGTTAAAGATGGCGGGCACTTCCGTTTTGTGCCCCTCGAATCTGAGGGAAAGAGAGTTGGTATTTTTTGCTTGCCACCTGACTTCAGTCAGAAGTGGGCACTTAAGAGTTGGATCAGATGGTAGAATTAAGACTGATGACACAGTATCCATCGAGGACTTGGGTGAGCCAGCCTATCACCTCTGAGGTAATTCCACCTTACTCAGCCAGTCAGAAGCTGTGAGGCACGCCTGCAATCCTAATACCTGGGAGGCTGAGGCTGAAGGATCGTTAAGTTTGAGGCCAACTTGGCCTCACAACGAGATCCTATCTCAAAAACGAAAAAAGGAGAGAGGCCACATTATAGTCTCTCCCTGTGGATGGTATCCAAGATCAAAGTCATCTGAAAGACATTTATTTTCCCTCTACCTCCCTTCATATTTGTCCAGCATGATCTTGGCATGCTGGCTATCAGCTTGTGCACGCTGAACCTCACCCCATTCCTCTGTACTGGTGCTGTGGCCCAAGGATAGTCTTTTATTTCCTGGTCTTTGGTCTAACCTGCAGTTTGTTACTTCTAGCATTATTGCAGCCCTGGTGTGTACTTGCTAGTGAGTGTGATCAGAACCATAATAGCTAGCAGATAATTGCTGGCTAAGAGGTGCAGAAAAGGAACCTCTACTGTCCCCTACAGGAACATGTACCCTATGGCCAAGCCTGGGATTGGATTGAGATTTATATATTGTCCTTTTTCGATATCAGTCTTAAGTCTGATGATGTAGTTTTGCTATTTGAATTTCAGACTTAAATGACTGTTACAGAAATGTACTTAAGAGCTTTATGTGGACAATATATGCTAATTACTTGTGATTTAATTTTTTTTCTGAGTATTTTATTTTGTGGTTCTGGACTTGATTGAACTCAGGGCCTTGTGCTTGTTTTAGGTAGGTGCTCTACCACTGAGACCCACCTCTTGGCCCATTCTGATTATTTTCTTTGAACCTGGCTTAATTGGCTTATAGCACAGAAAGGATTATTTTATTTAAATAAAATTTCACCTTATGAACAAATGGAGAAAAATAGAATGTTTGAAGGTCTTCACTAGTCTCCAGGCCTTATGTGGTTCTCATTCTTGATGCTGCACTATACTACTTGACTAAAGAGCTATTTATCATGCAGGAACCTTTTAACTGCTGTGTTCTAATGTGCTTTATAAGACTATTAATGACCATATTTCACTTTTCTATGGTTTCCTGCCTTCTTAACACCCAGGTCTAAGTCTGGCTCACAGCAATCCCTCAGTCCTTGATCCAGGCCCCAGCCCCAGCCCCAGCCCCGGCCCCAGCCCCGGCCCCGGCCCCGGCCCCGGCCCC